ATAAGGGAGTACTTAAGCAACAGGAAACAGCGAGTAACGGTGAGGGGGAAGACATCAGAGTGGCGAGATGTCACCAGCGGAGTCCCACAGGGCTCAGTACTTGGACCCATCCTGTTTCTAATATATGTGAACGATCTTCCAGAGGGTATAGACTCATTCCTCTCGATGTTTGCTGATGATGCAAAAATTATGAGAAGAATCAAGACGGATGAAGATAGACAGAGACTACAGGATGACCTGGATAAACTGGAGGAATGGTCTAGAAAATGGCTGCTGAAGTTCAACTCTGGAAAGTGTAAGGTGATGAAATTAGGCGAAGGGAGCAGGAGGCTGAACACAAGGTATCATCTGGGAGGGGAAATCCTGCAAGAATCAAATAGAGAGAAGGATCTGGGGGTTGATATCACACCGAACCTGTCCCCAGAGGCCCACGTCAAAAGAATATCATCAGCGGCATATGCTAGACTGGCCAACATAAGAACTGCCTTCAGAAACTTGTGTAAGGAATCTTTCAGAACCCTGTATACCACTTATGTAAGACCAATCCTGGAGTATGCAGCTCCAGCCTGGAGTCCATATCTAGTTAAACACAAGACAAAGTTAGAGAAGATTCAGCGGTATGCCACCAGGCTCGTCCCGGAACTGAGAGGATTGAGCTACGAGGAAAGGCTAAAGGAGCTGAACCTCACATCCCTGGAAAACAGAAGAGTAAGGGGAGACATGATAACCACCTACAAAATTCTCAGGGGAATTGACAGGGTGAACAAAGACAAACTTTCAGCACGGGTGGGACACGAACAAGGGGACACAGGTGGAAACTTAGTACCCAGATGAGCCACAGAGACGTTAGAAAGAATTTTTTCAGTGTCAGAGTAGTTAATAAATGGAATGCACTAGGAAGTGATGTGGTGGAGGCTGACTCCATACACAGTTTCAAATGTAGGTATGATAGAGCCCAGTAGGCTCAGGAATCTGTACACCAGTTGATTGACAGTTGAGAGGCGGGACCAAAGAGCCAAAGCTCAACCCCCGCAAGCACAATTAGGTGAGTACACACACACACACACACACACACAATGCATTAGGAAGTGATGTGGTGGAGGCTGACTCCATACACAGTTTCAAATGTAGGTATGATAGAGCCCAGTAGGCTCAGGAACCTGTACACCAGTTTATTGACGGTTGAGAGGCGGGACCAAAGAGCCAGAGCTCAACCCCCGCAAGCACAACTGAGTACACACACACACACACACACACACACACACACACACACACACACATACACATACATAAATAAATACCTTGACACTGTTCAACAATCAAAAATTCATTTCAACACAATCCTCATCAAATATGAGAAGGTTCACACGTGTACCACTGCTGTCTATTAATTATTACTGTTTTATTCATCTACTATCTATCGAAGTTACTCCATTTTCTCCAGTTATTATTAGAATACATCAACATTATAAATTAAGGGTATTTAATTTCTATACTTGTAATATTAATGGGTCATTCCTACTACACTAAATGTATTCATGGTATACAATAACTACACTACATGTATTAATGGTATGTACTTCACTAGGTGTATTAATGGTATATATAAATAATACATAATACAAGTAATTGTAACGTCTTCTCATAGACATAATAACATGGGATAAAAAGCCACATTTATGTCATTTGTGAAATTTATGTCAAGATTGACACCAAGTCTTTGACACCCTCCTGAGTGCTTTGTCAAAGTCTGAGTGTGTGGTTAAGACTAGACTTTCACCTCAACGTTTCATCTTACATTAGACGTAGAGATGTACGTCTCGTCTCAGACCTCGACACACATTCAGACCTCGACACACACTCAGACCTCGACACACTCAGACCTCGACACACGCTCAGACCTCGACACGCTCAGACCTCGACACACACTCAGACCTCGACACACGCTCAGACCTCGACACACACTCAGACCTCGACACACACTCAGACCTCGACACACTCAGACCTCGACACGCTCAGACCTCGACACACTCAGACCTCGACACACTCAGACCTCGACACACTCAGACCTCGACACACTCAGACCTCGACACACACTCAGACCTCGACACACTCAGACCTCGACACACTCAAACTTCGGCAAAGCACTCAGGATAGTACGAAAGACTTGGTGTCAATCGTTACATATATATTTCCCAAATAACATAAGTGTAGCTGATATATACAACATAATATGTACTAGTAACACATGTTAACTACACTACACATAGTAATGACAATACATGTATCTTACTTGACCTGTTCATTCGTCCTAAGTACGTCGAGGAACGTTAGTACAAAGTAGTGCTTTGGAGTACGTACACACGAGTCGTTCAGGACCCTGTATACCACTTATGTCAGACCAATCCTGGAGTATGCAGCTCCAGGATTGGTTAATACTATTAGTATGAGTGGCATTTATAAATATATATATATTACACATCACTAAAGTTTACTCTAAAGTTAGTAATCTAGTACAACAATTCTCCTGGATGGTTCTCTGTAACAATGTGGGGTTCAAGATTTATATTGAGTATACAAATCGATATAAATTGTAATATACAAATCACACTTTGTATATGAGTTATTAACCACTCATTTACACGATTTGTAATATTTAAAGTGGCAGTATGCTGGGGGTGGCAGGTTTGCCAGCCTGCCAGGTTGCCAGCCTGCCAGGTTGCCAGCCTGCCAGGTTGCCAGCCTGCCAGGTTGCCAGCCTGCCAAGGTTGCCAGCCTGCCAGCCTGCCAAGGTTGACAGCCTGCCAGCCTGCCAGTATGTTGCCTGAATGTGAATCACAGTTTTGCGTAGTTAGGTTGGGAATATTGTTTAAGATTCGCTACCTGGAACAAACAGTTCCAAGTAGCACGGGCTATGGTGATCCCGTAGTTAGGTTGGTAAGAGCGTTCGAATGACCATTAGTGCAAAAGGGGGGATGATCTGTCTTGTTGCCACCAAACCCACCTTTTCTGAGGAAGTTTGTTCTCGTGGGGAAGTCCTTATAGAGAAGCTAAATAGGTACCATGCAATTTCTGAACTTTGTAGAATAGTCACAAATCGGCAACATCTATATTGCTCAGGATATGTCAGGATATGTATACTCTATTGCTCAGGATATGTCGGGATATGTATACTCTATTGCTCAGGATATGTCGGGATATGTATACTCTATTGCTCAGGATATGTCAGGATATGTATACTCTATTGCTCAGGATATGTCAGGATATGTATACTCTATTGCTCAGGATATGTCAGGATATGTATACTCTATTGCTCAGGATATGTCGGGATATGTATACTCTATTGCTCAGGATATGTCGGGATATGTATACTCTATTGCTCAGGATATGTCAGGATATGTATACTCTATTGCTCAGGATATGTCGGGATATGTATACTCTATTGCTCAGGATATGTCGGGATATGTATACTCTATTGCTCAGGATATGTCGGGATATGTATACTCTGTTGCTCAGGATATGTCGGGATATGTATACTCTATTGCTCAGGATATGTCGGGATATGTATACTCTATTGCTCAGGATATGTCGGGATATGTATACTCTATTGCTCAGGATATGTCAGGATATGTATACTCTATTGCTCAGGATATGTCAGGATATGTATACTCTATTGCTCAGGATATGTCAGGATATGTATACTCTATTACTCAGGATATGTCAGGATATGTATACTCTATTGCTCAGGAGTCAGGATATGCAACTCTGGATCAATGGCTGGCCATCGATGGGCGACTCTCTCTTAACCTTTCTCAAACAAGTTGATAACTGGACAGGACTCCAGAGTTAGTGAAGGGTGTGACATTATTCATATGACTCGTTAATTGTCGTCTAATGCATCCCTTTGATGGTAGGGACTGTCAGGGCCTGACAGCTGAGTGGACAATGCTTTGAATTCGTAGTCCTGAGGTACTGGGCTCGATTCCTGGTGAAGGAGGAAACCAAATGGGCATAGTTTCTTTTACCCTGATGTTCCAGTTGACTTAGCTGTAAATAGGTACCTGGAAGCTAGACAGCTGCTTACTGGGTGTGGGGGGGGGGTGTAACAAAAAGGAGGCCTGGTCGAGGACCGGGCCGCGGGGACGCTAAGCCCCGAAATCATCTCAAGATAACCTCAAGAAGATAGGTAATGTACTTCGTTCCGAAAGCTTTATAGCGCATTTCGCTGGAACATTTTCACAAGGACAGTATGAAGCATACCCCACTCCTAATAGAGTAAGGCACTACGGGCTCACCATAGCCCGTGCTACTTGGAACTCTGTCCCAGGTAGCGAATCTTTAACAACAACATCCTAATAAGATAATTGATGGGTTGTAAATCAGCGGGGTGTTGTGTAGCTTAGGCCAGGACGAGGCCCTTGGTGGGTCCTTGAGACGAGCCGTCAGGTGAGGCTTCACCGGAGTCAGTACTAACGTCGTCTACACGATAAGACAGTTTTAAGGGTTTAATGGTGTGATTTACACCTTTTGGTGTCTCGTGAGAGAGTCCGTGTGCAATTTGCAAAAGTATAATGCAAATTGCTTCTGGTTGATGGCAACAACCAGGCAACAGCCTGGTTGATCAGTCCAGCAACCAGGAGGCCTGGTCGACGACCGGGCCGCGGGGACACTAAGCCCCGGAAGCACCTTAAGGTAGCCTCAAGGTGGTATCATTGAATTATAATTAATATTATTTTTATCATGAAGAACATTTTATCATCATGTATATCATTATATCATCATTCCCACGTTGATGACATGAGAATGGAACTATTAGCAGAAGCGCCAGGCCATTACGACTATATAGCACTTGGAAGGGGTCAGGATAAGGATTTTAGATAAGACGGGTGGGAAGGAATGGTACCCAACCACTTGTGGACCGTTGGGGATTGAACGCCGACCTGCATGAGAGTGTAGCCATGAGGCCACTAACATGGGTGTCTCCCCCCCCCCCCCTGCAGGTCGGGTGGATGAGAGCAGACACCCAGACCATCCTCAGTCTACACAAGAAGGTTGTCACCCACAACATCCGTATCTCCGTCACCCACAGCGAGCCTCGAACCTGGAACCTCCACATCAGGATGGTGAGTGTGGTGCTGGATGCTTGTGTGTGTGTGTGTGTGTGTGTGTGTGGTGTGTGTGTGTGGTGTGTGTGTGTGGTGTGTGTGTGTGTGGTGTGTGTGTGGTGTGTGTGTGTGTGTGGTGTGTGTGTGGTGGTGTGTGTGTGTGGTGTGTGTGTGTGGTGTGTGTGTGTGTGGTGTGTGTGTGGTGTGTGTGTGGTGTGTGTGTGTGGTGTGTGTGTGTGTGTGTGTGTGTGGTGTGTGTGTGTGGTGTGTGTGTGGTGTGTGTGTGGTGTGTGTGTGGTGTGTGTGTGGTGTGTGTGTGGTGTGTGTGTGTGTGTGTGTGTGTGTGTGTGTGTGTGTGTGTGTGTGTGTGTGTGTGTGTGTGTGTGTGTGTGTGTGTGTGTGTGTGTGTGTGTGTGTGTGTGTGTGTGTGTGTGTGTGTGTGTGTGTACTCACCTAGTTGTACTCACCTAGTTGTACTCACCTAGTTGTACTCACCTAGTTGTGTTTGCGGGGGTTGAGCTCTGGCTCTTTGGTCCCGCCTCTCAACCGTCAATCAACAGGTGTACAGATTCCTGAGCCTATTGGGCTCTGTCATATCTACACTTGAAACTGTGTATGGAGTCAGCCTCCACCACATCACCCCCTAATGCATTCCATTTGTCAACCACTCTGACACTAAAAAAGTTCTTTCTAATATCTCCGTGGCTCATTTGGGCACTCAGTTTCCACCTGTGTCCCCTTGTGCGTGTTCCCCTTGTGTTAAATAGACTGTCTTTATCTACCCTATCAATTCCCTTCAGAATCTTGAATGTGGTGATCATGTCCCCCCTAACTCTTCTGTCTTCCAGCGAAGTGAGGTTTAATTCCCGTAGTCTCTCCTCGTAGCTCATACCTCTTAGCTCGGGTACTAGTCTGGTGGCAAACCTTTGAACCTTTTCCAGTTTAGTCTTATCCTTGACTAGATATGGACTCCATGCTGGGGCTGCATACTCCAGGATTGGCCTGACATATGTGGTATACAAAGTTCTGAATGATTCTTTACACAAATTTCTGAATGCCGTTCGTATGTTGGCCAGCCTGGCATATGCCGCTGATGTTATCCGCTTGATATGTGCTGCAGGAGACAGGTCTGGCGTGATATCAACCCCCAAGTCTTTTTCCTTCTCTGACTCCTGAAGAATTTCCTCTCCCAGGTGATACCTTGTATCTGGCCTCCTGCTCCCTACACCTATCTTCATTACATTACATTTGGTTGGGTTAAACTCTAACAACCATTTGTTCGACCATTCCTTCAGCTTGTCTAGGTCTTCTTGAAGCCTCAAATGTATGTGTGTGTATGTGTGTGTATGTGTGTGTGTGTGTGTGTGTGTGTGTGTATGTGTGTGTGTGTGTATGTGTGTGTGGTGTATGTGTGTGTGTGTGTAAGGATCCATGTTTGTATTTAAACATTGTTTAAACATGTATGAACGTATTCATCTGTGTGTTTCAGTGTACATAACCCTTTGTAATTGTATTGATCCAGGTGTGAGTAAATTGATCTACGTGTGAGTGCATTGATGTACGATGGTATTGATCCACGTTTAAGTAGATTGATCCATATGTAAGTGTATTCATCCACATGTGAGTGTGTATGGGAGAGAGAGAAGTGTATATACTTAAAGTTTGATGTGGATATAAAAAGGGAATATATATGAACGTTAAGGGTCAATATACTTTATACTGAAAACACGATCATGAACGTAATAAATACCTACAGAAAGAACTGAGCTTGGCTCACAACCACCTCGTTCAGTAGCAGGTTGTGCTCGTCCAAGCGGCTGCCGACCCCAAAAGACGTCAAATTTGACGTACTTTTGTTCCAAGATAGTTTTTCTCAAAAATACATTAATAGTATTTCACATAAATTAGATTTTTTCTATATAGTTAGGCGAAGGTTAGGTGTTTTGGTACTGTTGGCGATCATTTATTTTGAGGTATGCGAGTGAAGCATTCATTGCCATGCGATTCAAACGCAGAACGAGAGCGAAACAATCTTAAAGAAATGTTCGAACGTCATCAGTTGTGAGTCGCGTGAAGGATTTTGTTCATCCATACAGTTTGTCACCTGAAATAACGAGAGCTTGGTCTTTGTTCATGAGTACGAGCTGTCAGCGTCTCAGGTGACTAGTGGACATAGAATTAAATGTTGAGTAAATCTCACTCAAAGGTGACCGAGTATCAGGGACCAGTGGTTCGCAGCCCGTCCTCATCAACAAAGGCCAAATGCTCGCTAATCCAACCGCCAAACCCGCTATTTATGAATGAAAGTCCATTACATCCAGCGGTCGACCCCACAAACGCATTCATAAATTTTAACATGCTGTTCATTCAAAACAGGAATTTTCTCAAATATAAATCAATATTATAATATATTAGCATATTGTGCATATATAGGCATAGGTTAGGTTAGGTGTTTAGGTTCTGCTGGCGATTATTTGTATTTGTAGTACGTGGGTGAAGCATTTACAGCGTTGTGGTTCGAACAAAATTTTGGTCGAGCAAGCACTTACTCCGGAATTGTTTGAACGTCAGCAGTTGTGAGTCGTGTGTAAACCGTTTTTCATTGATAAACAGGGGGTTTGGCGGGTGCATGGAATGGACTTTGGGTCTTTGTTTGGAGGACGGGCTGTTCGCTGACGTCCTCTGCTCGAATCGTAAATCTGCAAATGTTTCACTCATGTATTACAAACACAAATGACTACCAACAGAGCCTAAACGCCTCAGAAAACCAAAGCTACGTCTAACTATACATGCAACTTTCATGTATAGCAAAACTATTAATTATGTTAAAACCATTTTTAACACACAACACGTTATAATTGACGAATGGGTCTTCGGGAGACGGCCTCCACTTTACGGAGCCAACCCTGGGGACAAGTTGAGATTTTATTAATTCAGTAGCTGACATGCGTCGTCAACCCGACGGCCCTTTGCTGTGACGAATGACTGGGTTTAACAAGCATTTGGCAATTGTTTATTGATGATGGACTTATTCAGCCTTCCACTTCGCTATATACGAATGAAAAACTTTAAATTTTAGTTGACTGGTGCCTCCCTTAGTCCTATACTCTTAGAAGATGAAGTGCATCTCATAGAAGGTAATTATAGGATAAAGCGCCTCTTTATCTATCATTAATTATAAAGTTAAATTATAGGATACAGTTTCACTGACGTACTGTAAATACCTGTAACAGCTAGGGTAAGCCAAAACCCTTAACCTAACCCATATTATGTCTAACTATACGCTAAAGTTTAGTATGTAATAATCGTCCTTTAAACCTAGGAAACTGGATAATTTTATTACACAGAACTAAACAAGTAGGCGAATTCGCCTTTGGAATCGACCAAAGCTTGCACGAGCACAGTTTAAAGATGGGGTAAGGGACTGCCGCAGTCTAGATGAGTATACCCTAAATATGGGGGTATGGGGTTAATGTACCCCAAGAGGTATACCCCGCTACTCGGTGAATACACACAGTTTACAGACGAAGAGTCACAAAAACGTGGTTGAAATATGTTGACCAAACCAAACAATCGACTTGAGAATGGTCCAGGACGGATCGAAACATCGTCGTCCCTTCACTTTCTAGTGTGTGGTCTGGTCAACACACAGTTTACATTTGCCATGGACTATATTCAGGACCAAAGTATACTTACTGGTTGATCAGAAAGCACTTGTAGTTGCCTTAATAACTCTTTATAGGTTGACAGATAGTAAGTACAACACAATGGGTTGGTGATGAGGGCCGCTGGGACCAGCACAGCGCGAGGATTGGTCCCAGTCTATTTACTAGTCACTGCCCCTTCCATTCGTCGGGGCAGTGAATAGTAACTATGGGTGACACAGGGCCATTTGTGGAGCATACATGGCACAGGGCCATCTGTGGAGTATATGTGACACAGGGCCAGCTGTGGAGCATGACACAGGGCCATCTGTGGAGCACATATGGCACAGGGTGCCCAGAATGTATCCATAGAGTACACACTTGACGGGATGCCCTGATTATATAGTGACTAATAACTCAAAGTCCACTACGGGCTCACCATAGCCCGTGCTACTAGGAACTTTTTGTTCCAAGTAGCGCATCTTAAACCCCACCACCACCACCACCAGACTAATGACTTGTTGTTGTTGGTATACAGGTGAAGGAGGACGACCGGGGCTGCTACATGTGCCAGATCAACACAGCCGTCATGAAGAAGACCGTCGGCTGTGTCGACGTTCACGGTGAGTGCCTCTCCTCCCAAGTCGAAGTGGTTGTGCACCATTCCTTACCCTCCGTCCCATCCCAAATCCTTATCCTGACCCCTTCCCAGTGCTATATAGTCGTAATGGCTTGGCGCTTTCACCCTGATAATTCCCTCCCCCCCCCCCTCTCTGATATACTGCAAAAACCATCTAAATTATTCTAACGAAAGTACTTAATCTATTCAAGGCCCATTATTAATCCCTGTAAAATATATAAACTTGTCATAGGTCTATGTGCTGAAAAATTATTTGTTATTTGAACCTACAAAGTTTGTGCGGTGTTACATATTGACTTAATTAGTTGAGTGCAAAGTCCTTATTTGGACTTGTCATAAGTAGTACATGTCACTATGAACGGACGGGAGGAGAGCTTTGATGGTAGAGTCAATGACAGAGTGAATGGTAGAGTGAATTACCCCACCCCCTTCTCCTTTGGAAGTGGTAGTGTATCAGTGTGTGAGGGTGTGTGTTTGTCGGTGGGGGGGGGGGGTACTTACATGCATGGAAGAGGAGGTGGTGTGTGTGTGTGTGTGTGTGTGTGTGTAACAACTCCTCTGGGTGTGGGAGAACTCACATACGATAGCAAACAGACAGGTGAAGACGATGCCTAAGACGAACAAAAGAGAGATGTGAACATTGAGACACACACATCTCTCAAAAACCGAAGACATCAGTTCGCACATCCCAAATCTCAGCATCCTGAAGTATCCGAATCAATTCCCAGCTTCCATTGAAAAGGACTCTTGTACCCCGAATATACCTTTTTTTAATTTCCAGAGTCCTGGAGCTCTATAACGATCGTATCAAAATATACTTACTTCATTATATTTGATTTTTAATGTGGGTCGGGAGGTGGATGAGCCAACCATCTCACCGACACGCTAACGAGGTACTGGTTGATGTTAGCTGGATGAGGTTGGCAAAGCTGCCAGATGTAGGATGTCGGTGGTAAGCCAGATATATAGTTTGTCGGTGGTAAGCCAGATATAGATTGTCGGTGGTAAGCCAGATATAGTTTGTCGGTGGTAAGCCAGATATAGTTTGTCGGTGGTAAGCCAGATATAGATTGTTGGTGGTAAGCCAGATATAGTTTGGTGGTGGTAAGCCAGATATAGATTGTGGGTGGTAAGCCAGATATAGTTTGTCGGTGGTAAGCCAGATATAGATTGTCGGTGGTAAGCCAGATATAGAATGTCAGTGGTAAGCCAGATATAGATTGTCGGTGGTAAGCCAGATATATAGTTTGTCGGTGGTAAGCCAGATATAGATTGTTGGTGGTAAGCCAGATATATAGTTTGTCGGTGGTAAGCCAGATATATAGTTTGTTGGTGGTAAGCCAGATGTAGTTTGTTGGTGGTAAGCCAGATATAGTTTGATGGTGGTAAGTCAGATATATAGTTTGTTGGTGGTAAGCCAGATGTAGGATGTCGGTGGTAAGCCAGATATATAGTTTGTTGGTGGTAAGCCAGATATATAGTTTGTCGGTGGTAAGCCAGATGTAGTTTGTTGGTGGTAAGTCAGATATATAGTTTGTTGGTGGTAAGCCAGATATAGGATATCGGTGGTAAGCCAGATATAGTTTGTTGGTGGTAAGCCAGATATAGTTTGTTGGTGGTAAGCCAGATATATAGGTTGTCGGTGGTAAGTCAGATATAGTTTGTTGGTGGTAAGCCAGATATAGTTTGTCGGTGGTAAGCCAGATATAGTTTGTCGGTGGTAAGTCAGATATATAGATTGTCGGTGGTAAGTCAGATATATAGTTTGTTGGTGGTAAGCCAGATATAGCTCGTCGGTTGGTAGGCCAGATATAGTTTGTCGGTGGTAAGCCAGATATATATAGTTAGTTGGTGGTAAGCCAGATGTAGTTTGTCGGTGGTAAGCCAGATGTAGTTTGACGGAGGGGTAAGACAGAAGTCAATTGTCAATGATAAACGAGATCTTGCCCGTCAATGATAAAACAAGATCTTGCCTGTCAAAGATAAACGAAATATTGCATGTCAATTCATGTAAGATTAATTAATAAATCACTAATTATATCATCTTCCAATACTGCATTTGGCTTGTGACCGAAATCGTATCATGGAAGATTTTAACCATTAACTGAGTAGAATCATGTTAAATTTCTATCGTTAACTACATCATTTCGCGCAGAATTTGATCATTAAATCGCTACAAGGACAATTTTATTAACTCACTAAATAGAAGATGCCCAACCATTTGGACTGGATGGTAGAGCGACTGTCTCGCTTCATGCAGGTCGGCGTTCAATCCCCGACTGTCCACCAAGTGTTTGGGAACCATTTCTTTCCCCCGTCCCATCCTAAATCCTTATCCTGACCCCCTTCCCAATGCTATATAGTCGTAATGGCTTGGCGCTTTCCCCCTGATAGTTTCTTTCTACGTATTAGATTTTTTTAATTTAAAAAATTGCATAATGTTGCAAGAGAGAGATGTAATGCAACTATGATATCTGAAAATCAACTCCACTACCTAATATTGAGTCAATAACACGTTAACACAACATTTTTCATCTAAAAAACCATCAACCCGTTCTCGCACTTTCGTATAGTCAATATTGACTTATTAAATACGTGCATATGTGACATACTAAACATACTAGTTTACCTTGAAAAGCTTCATAGAAAACACCGACCTTACCTAACCTTCTTAGTATGTTAAGATAAGCATCTTATTGCTTCGTAATTACAATTATTACTTAACCTATTATAGGTATAGGTTAAGTAATAATTGTAATTGCAAAGCAATAAGATGCTTATCTTAACATACTAAGAAGGTTAGGTAAGGTCGGTGTTTTCTATGAAGATTTTCAAGGTAAACTAGTATGTTTAGTATGTCACATATGCACGTATTTAATAAGTCAATATTGACTGTAAGAAAGTGCGAGAACGGGTTGAAAACCATCTGGGTAATATAATTCTTTCAACTTGAAAATAAAATCAATTACAAATGTTGATATCTGAAGTAATAAAAAGGAATAATAAAATAAAGTAAAAAATCAATAAAAATGTCAATAAACTGTTAGAATAAAAGGTTATCTAATACAGATTAGTGAGCGAATAAATAACAGAATACAGCAGGTCAATAAAGACGAGTAACGACACGCAGTAAAGACTGGGATCAATACTCTTCTTAACAGATAACAATGTAGATAACTTGATAACCGTAGATAGTCTGTAGGAGTACTATGGTAGTGGTCCAGTGGGAGTCTTAGAGGCATCGATTCAAATCCAATAATTCCTCTTATCCCCTTCCTTCCTTCCCTCCTCCCCTTACCCCCTTTTCCTTCCCTCCCTCACCCCCTACCTTCCCTCCCTCACCTCACTACCTTCCCTCCCTCACCTCACTACCTTCCCTCCCTCACCCCCCTACCTTCCCTCCCTCACCCCCCTACCTTCCCTCCCTCACCCCCCTACCTTCCCTCCCTCACCCCCCTACCTTCCCTCCCTCACCCCTACCTTCCCTCCCTCACCCCCCTACCTTCCCTTCCTCACCCCCCTACCTTCCCTCCCTCACCCCCCTACCTTCCCTCCCTCACCCCCTACCTTCCCTCCCTCACCCCCCTACCTTCCCTCCCTCACCCCCTACCTTCCCTCCCTCACCCCCTACCTTCCCTCCCTCACCCCCTACCTTCCCTCCCTCACCCCCTACCTTCCCTCCCTCACCCCCCTACCTTCCCTCTGTGCTACCTGGCTTTGAGAAGTCACATACTGAAAAGATCTACGACCAAAAATTTCAAGGGATTTTATTTTTACGTATGTGAATGAACGCATAAAAAAATCCATACACAAGGTCGTTTAGGAATTTGTGTTGATGACACTCAAGCGACCAGTGACCTCTGACCCGACACACAGTGTATATCATATATATATATATATATATATATATATATATATATATATATATATATATATATATATATATATATATATATATATATATATATTAGTATATTTCGGTAGCAGTCTTTCTTGTAAACATATGTTGTTGAATATGACCGAAAAGGTAAGATTAATAATTCTAACACGAATTTTCTCAATATTTCTTATGTTTTTCTTCACTGTCGGTGGTAATAAAAATATGAATTCTCCAAAATTCCTTTTTTTAATTGTCTGACGTCTGAACGCGTTTCGTAATGCTTATTACATTTTCAAAGACTTAATTTACACGCAGATTCATCGAACTTTTACTCATTTTGGGTGAGGTGATATGGTACAAAGTTTTGGGTGAGGTGAACAAACTTATGACAAATACAAGACAGAACCTCACCCAAAATGAGTATAAGGTCGATGAATTTGTATGTAAATTAAGTCTTTGAAAATGTAATAAGCATTACGAAACGCGTTCAGGCGTCAGACAATTAAAAAAAGGAATTTTGGAGAATTAATATTTTTATTACCACCGACAGTGAAGAAAACCATAAGAAATATTGAGAAAATTCGTGTTAGAATTATTAATCTTACGTTTTCGGTCATATTCAACAACATATGTTTACAAGAAAGACTGCTACCAAAATACACTAATATTATATATATATATATATATATATATATATATATATATATATATATATAATTTTTTTTTGTGAACAAGCTTGAACCGTCCCCAAGCCTAAGGTCTAGCGGCTAAGGTACCAGATACACCAAGGTGCATAGTGCTCCTGACTGTCTGGGTTCGAATCCTTCTTATGTGTCGAGTTTTCGATTATATATATATATATATATATATATATATATATATATATATATATATGATGTGTGTGTGTGTGTGTGTGTGTGTGTGTGTGTGTGTGTGTGTGTGTGTGTGTGTGTGTGTGTGTGTGTGTGTGTGTGTATGTATTCACTCACCCAGGTGAATAATATAATAAAGTAAAAATATTCACTTTATCATATACACATTTAATACTGTATAAATACTGTGTATCGTATTGGCCTTGACAATTTTCTGATTTACTCCCTTCCAATCATATGGAACTCTTAAACTAAGAATGTTCCTTCTCATATCTCTGACTCATCGGTGTCTCCAGTTTTCAATTAGGTCTAATTTCAACGTTGCTGCTATATCTACTTTGTGAATCCCCATTAATATCTTGTACGTCGTCATCATGTCTGCCCTACACTTTATTTTCTCCTGTGTAGTCGGGTCCAGTATACACTTCGCAATGAATGAAGATTAGTTCCAATCTTGCTGGTTCGTCTCCAACTCTTCTCTCTGTCTTTCCGAAACATATTGTGTAAAGAATTTTCTTTCTGAATCTTGTACTTCTTGTACTCATCATGTTTCTTCTTCTGTTAAATCTATAGTTTCCCAGTCAATTTTCTAATGATTAAAATCTCCCATTATTAGTAACTTTGCTCCCAATTTAAGGGCTAATTTAGTCACACTTTATGTGATATTTGTGTAAGGTTTGTTTGTCTTCTCGTATTTTGCTCTGGGTCTTATGCATTTGTCCAAGTGGTTGGGCACCATTCCTTCCCCCCGTCCCATCCCAAATCCTTATCCTGGCCCCTTCCTCCCGTCCCATCCCAAATCCTTATCCTGACCCCTTCCAAGTGTTACATAGTCGTAATGGCCTGGCGCTTTCCCCTGATAATTTCCTTGCTTCCTTCTGCATTTGTCTGGGGATTATAAATCACAGTCACAATCACAGTTTTCTTCCACTATAATGATTCCTGTTGCACAGTCCACATTATTGGAATCCTTCTCATAATTGATGTTTACAAACTTAATGTCTCTTTTGATCCGAATGCCTCTTGCCAGTTCTCCTCTGATTTCTTTCTCTTACTGTTATCTGGTATCGTCTGAGGAATACTGTGTTAGTGATTATTTCAGTTATTTTAGTTTCTACTATTGCTATTACATCAGGGGGTTTGTTTCATCAGTCCTCTTCCAGTTCATCCGCCTTGTTTGACATTCCGTAGCATTTATATACCAGATTTTTAGGCTCTTCATTGATACTGTGTTCTTTATACAGGCAGCTTCCAGCCTGGGGGTGGGTTATTGGACTGGTTCAGGTGTGGAAGGTATGGAAAGGGTTGGTGGAATGGCTGGAGGTGAGAGCCTGGGAGTGGAGGGCAGGGGAGTAATGGAGGATAGTGGGAGTAATTGATTAAAGAGGGAAGGGGAGCCTTTTAGGTTTAGAGTGGGCTATAGATATATGCTGTTTGTACTCACCTAGTTGTGCTTGCGGGGTTGAGCTTCGGCTCTTTGGTCCCCACCTCCCAACCGTCAATCAACGGGTGTAAAGAATGCATCCTGGGGATGGTCTGTACTTCGACGGATACCTCGTTATAAGCTTAAATTATATATCACAGGCTTCTTGTCCCCGTCACTATGAATTATTTAACATCTAATGCACCGTAAATATTTTGAGTTAACATCTTTAAGATTAGTCTTATAACATTAAACTTCATTACCAAACATGTTTTGAAGCTTTTAACTGTCAATTATACCGGTCCAATTAAAACAAAAACACAAGAACTTTTCCCTCGTCCCTATCCTGTCATTTGATCCAGCTAACAATAGAGCAGCTCCGACACGACCTCAAATTCCATTTACCATGCTGAACCCTTGTCCTCCCCTACAATAAAAATGCCTTCGGGTGCATATGAGCACCTTCCCCGGCGCTGACACGCCTCGACCCTGTGTTCCAGTCCCTCCCAACATCATCGACGAGCAGACCTCCGGGGACATCACGGTGCCGGACGGGGAGAGCGTCTCCCTCGTGTGTACCGCGAACGGCTACCCGGCGCCCAAGATCCTGTGGAGACGAGAGGACGGAGAGAAGATTACTCTCAGGACAGGCAAGAGAGACAGGATGAAAGGTTAGTACTTCTTCATCATTTTAATCCCCATTTTCTGTGGAGGAGTGTAGTCGGTTGGCAGGACGAGACTCTTGGTCAAGTTTTTTGTTCAACCTGATGGCTCTGTTCACCTAGAAGTACACACGAACGTGGAAGCTATTCGCGTGTTGTGAGTTGCATCCTGGGAAATGAGAGTCGTTGGGTATTGGGTCGTAGTAATCCCGACACGTTCCCTGGCCCCCGACAACGGTCAACTATACAAATATATCTGAAGGTCGGTGATTGTCCGTTATGAATTCGGATTCCGTTGAATAGAATTCAACCAAGCTTCGTATGGCTTCCCAATTTGAAGCGAGGAAGGTCACAGGCTGCAGCCTTCAGCCAGGATTGCTTTCATGCAGTTTCCATTTCCAAGGCTTTTCTCGACAAGTGCTTCTTTCTCTTTCAATACATGAAGCGAACCTCTTTGCAAGGCTTCGAACATGATCAGTAAATGCGTATACTTAACTACTCTTCCCCCTTTTGACCCGAGGAAATGACATGAGCTATACGGGGCTCCGGCTCCTGGGCCTCTGCTTTTAGGGAGAGTATTTGACTTCATTTTTGTCTTATTTGCTATGCTTTTTTAAGTGCTTCATTATATGATAGCCATGTAGATAGCGACTCAGTAGATAGCCATGCTATCTACTGAGTCGAAACAAAGGCGTGAAGAGAAGCGCTAAGAGACTTGATGAGTGACAGAGGGAGTAAGCAATAGCGCTGAGAGAGTTACACAGGATAACACAGAGAGGAGTAACACACACAGGGATACACAGTGGTAACAGAAAGATAACACTGCTCCGCACTAGTTTTCTCATCAACTTCTCTATCGTTGGCCAGACCACACACAAGAAGGTGAAGGGACGACGAAGACGTTTCGGTCCGTCCTGGACCATTCTCAAGTCGATCGACTTGAGAATGGTCCAGGACGGACCGAAACGTCGTCGTCGTCCCTTTACCTTCTAGTGAGTGGTTTGGTCAACGTACTTTAGCCACGTTATTGTTTCTCTCTCGTTCATGTGTAAATGCCTCAGTTTAGCATTAACACAACACACCATATATGAACAAACGTCTTATTAAGAAACATTATCTTCAACGCAAACATAAGAAATGGGGTTCTGGCTTACGACTTTCCACGTTACGTCTAACAAACATGAAACAAATTATTTACGAGTGAAGACTTGACTAATATCTTCAATGTAAGTCCTTCTCCTTGTAGCTCCTCTAGATACACACACCCCGAGGTGTGGAATCTTATGGGAACAACACGGAAGGTGATTAGATAAACTGTGGCTCCTAAGATATTGTGGATGATTGGAGATCCAGTATCAATTAAGTGATGGTTTATGTTAGGTGTGTGTGAGGGAGACAGTGTTGAGGGAGTTACCAGTTGACGGCTGATCATGCGTCTGAGAGCAATCAATCATGAATGATTTGTTGCTGATTGATCCTGGTTTCATTTTGAGAGATTTACTAAGTTCAAAACTGATTTTGTGTGGTTAGGTTTCCTTTACATGCTACGTCTAATAGTCTATTACTTCTTTCAGTAGTTTTAAAAAGATTGTTTCAGTCCATTATGTTTTTTTTTTGCTTCGAAAGTTAATTATGGCTTCTTTAAGTACTTACTAAGCTATCTTTTCTCTCTGATTTCTTAATTTGTTATCGATGATAAGAGACATGATTTCCCTGCCTTCACCTTTGTAGTCAGACGACGACTATGATAAACTGATGGAAATAAATTAATTCATCAAAGATCATTGATGAATTAGAATCAAAATGAATTCAATTGAGAAGAGTGAAAAGCGTTGCAGGTAGTTGAGTCAATAGATGATTTAACGGAAGGCTGCACATGTGTCATGTGTCCTTGTGAATTGTATTCATCATTGTTACACTGTATCCTCCCCCCCACACACTGTATGCTCCCCACACACACTGTATCCTCCACACACACACTGTATCCTCCCCACACACACACTGTATCCTCCTCACACACACACTGTATCCTCCCCACACACACACTGTATCCTCCTCACACACACACTGTATCCTCCACACACACACACTGTATCCTCCACACACACACACACACTGTATCCTCCACACACACACACTGTATCCTCCACACACACACTGTATCCTCCTCACACAATGGGTCACCTGGTCAGAGAAAGGATACAGTCGGTCTACATTAACCTCATCACGGACACTATTTTGAATTTCGTCTTGAGTTAGTTATGTAATGGAGCAGTGTGAATGTTCTTCACTGTAGTTATTATGTTCAGTTGTTCAAGACCGGATAGAACCTTTTATCTATCATTCATAATCTGCTAATATATATGAGAGCCTTTCCCACACTGGAAAGGATAGGAAGAGAGGACGTATTGACCCGTCGCGGAGTACGATCATGTCGCCTCCACGACGGACGGAACCGTCTTCATTTCTGTCCATGAGCCAGATTCACGAAGCAGATACACAAACACTTACGAACCTGTCCATCTTTTCTCAATCTTTGGCGACTTTGTTTACAATTATTAAACAGTTAATGAGCCCCGAAGCACCAGGAGGCTGTTTATAACAATAACAACAGCTGATTGGCAAGTTTTCACGCTTGTAAACTGTTCAATAAATGTAACCAAAGCCGTCAAAGACCGAGAAAAGATGTATACGTTCGTAAGTACTTGCGTAACTGCTTAGTGAATCTGGCCCCAGAGGTGTTGATTTGCCATCAAATTTTCAACCTTGTTACTGTCTACTAATATATAATTTTCTATCCTTATTGTCTTTAACCTTTAAGGTGACTTAGAAACCTTGAAATATTCTTGTACAAGAAAACAGCTTTTAGGTTAGGTGAGGTTAGGTTAAGTTAGGTGAGGTGAGGTGAGGTGAGGTTAAGTTAGGTGAGGTGAGGTTAAGTTAGGTGAGGTGAGGTGAGGTTAAGTTAGGTGAGGTGAGGTGAGGTTAGGTTAGACTAAGTTAAGTTAGGTTAGGTTAGGTTAGGTTAGGTGAGGTGAGGTTAAGTTAGGTGAGGTGAGGTTAAGTTAGGTGAGGTGAGGTGAGGTGAGGTTAAGTTAGGTGAGGTGAGGTTAGGTTAGGTTAGACTAAGTTAGGTTAGGTTAGGTGAGGTTAGACTAAGTTAGGTTAGGTTAGACTAAGTTAGGTTAGGTTAGGTTAGGTGAGGTTTGGTGAGGTTAGGTTAGGTTAAGTTAGGCTAAGTTAGGTTAAAAAGATTGTTGTGTCATTACAGTTGACGACGTGGAGGGCCCCTACCTCAACCTGACGCGCGTCCGACGCAAGCAGATGGGCGCGTACGTCTGCATAGCCAAGAACGCCGTCCCTCCAGCCGTCATGAAGCGGATCATCGTCAATGTCGCCTGTATGTCGCCTCCACCATCTTGCTTGTTCCTCTCTCATGTGTGTGTGTGTGTGTGTGTGTGTGTGTGTGTGTGTGTGTGTGTGTGCGTGCATGGGGCGGTAGATTAATGCTTCCTAATTATTGTTATTATTACACCTCTCTCCATTCTTCCCGTTCCGTTTATCTTCCTCCCGCATTCTCTCTCTTCCTCCTTACCGCCCTTCTTTCCGTTCCTCTCCCAGTGAGCACAAGATGCTCTGGCAACATTTAATGTTATTAGCGTTGAATCAATCTTATCGACGTTGTTAGCATTTTTTTTTTTTATTAAGTTATGAGGTACATCTGCATTAGTGCAGCTACCCTAGACTATATGAAGTGGAGTACAGTGTGTCAAAAAAGCTAACTAGGTGATGCTATAAAATCCCCATCACACAGGATGGTTAGTCATACAGAGGCATGTGATTAGCGGTCTGCACTGGCAGACTCCGGATGCATTTTGAGGATATCAACAACACAAGATTGAATAAGGTAGCAGTGGTAATACAAGTCCCCATCTCGCAGGATGGTTAGTCATACAGAGCCATGTGTTTAATAGCCTGCACTGGCAAATTTTGGGTATACTGTGAGGATATCTTCAAGAATACGAGAGTGAATAAAGTAATTGCATAGCTCCAGGTACCTCATGCCAACTGGTCTGAAAGGTCTAATAACTGGGCATTCAGTGATGTAGTGCGGGAGATCATGCCGTAGTTCCTGCTCACAGAGTTTGCAACTGGAGTGCTCAGGATTGGGAGACCCGTCACCTGCAGCCACCTGCCACAGGTAACGGTAACCCAACCTGATCCTTGCAACCACTGTGTCGCACAGTCTAGTGGACGTTTTGTGCTGTCCATAGATGTAGGTTTCAGATCTGAACAAATCATAGCTTTTTATACTAGTACTTTCAGGTCGTTGGGAGTCAGTAAGCAGTCAATAAATCTGACTTAACAGTCTACGGATACTCAACCCCACATTTCATTCATAGGAGCCGCTGAGATTCACAACAGGAGAGAACCCTTAAGGAGGGTATGATGGGTCGACCCTATCTTGTTATGACGCTGGCCATATACACACATATAACAACAGTTCTCTTGCTCTGGCCGCGGAACTGTGTCACGCTCTCCTGCCCCGGCCTGGGAACTGTGTCACGCTCTCCTGCCCCGGCCTGGGAACTGTGTCACGTTCTCCTGCCCCGGCCTGGGAACTGTGTCACGCTCTCCTGCCCCGGCCTGGGAACTGTGTCACGCTCTCCTGCCCCGGCCTGGGAACTGTGTCACGCTCTCCTGCCCCGGCCTGGGAACTGTGTCACGCTCTCCTGCCCCGGCCTGGGAACTGTGTCACGCTCTCCTGCCCCGGCCTGGGAACTGTGTCACGCTCTCCTGCCCCGGCCTGGGAACTGTGTCACGTTCTCCTGCCCCGGCCTGGGAACTGTGTCACGCTCTCCTGCCCCGGCCTGGGAACTGCGTCACGCTCTCCTGCCCCGGCCTGGGAACTGTGTCACGCTCTCCTGCCCCGGCCTGGGAACTATGTCACGCTCTTCTGTCCTGGTCGGGGAACAATGATGTACTCTCCGCCCTTCTCCTGCCATGGCCGGGAAAACTGAGGTATAATCTTTGACCTTCATGTACAGTCCACCACAGACATTCTTCTGTGCCATGGCAACCACAACCACACATGTTGTGGTGGAGGCTGACTCCATACACAGTTTCAAATGTAGATATGATAGAGCCCAGTAGGCTCAGGAACCTGTACACCTGTTGATTGACAGTTGAGAGGCGGGACCAAAGAGCCAGAGCTCAACCCCCGTAAACACAACTAGGCGAGTACAAACACACACACACTAATAACTGTCAGTAAACAGAAAGGTTGAAAGTCACCGCAAAAGACGACCAATAGCTGATTGATGACAGATGAAGGTTAAGTCACCCTAGAGATGGCACGGGCATGAATAGCCCGTAACAATAGCTGATGAGGCGGGGCCTAGGAGATAGCACCCGAGCCTGGGTGCCATCACCTTGTGTTGTGCTCATTTCTTATATATTTTGTATTTTATTTGAAAGGGAAAATAATCGTGCACAAACAGCTATCACACTGATAAGCTTCACCACACAAGCCTCGGCCGTCCTGGGAACGATCGCCACCATTTATTGCGTAAACAATTGTTAGGTTTGTTTTCGTTTCACACAAAATCATTTATTCCATTCTGCCTGACTACAGCTGTTAAGTAAACGACTTTCCTAAAATTATGCATCATACTGAATGGAGTTGGGGTCCTGGGGCCAGATGCACGAAGCAGTTACGCAAGTACTTACGAACGTGGACATCTTTCCTCAATCTTTGACGGCTTTGGTTACATTTATTAAACAGTTTACAAGCGTGAAAACTTGCCAATCAACTGTTGTTATTGTTATAAACAGCCTCCTGGTGCTTCGGAGCTCATTAACTGTTTAATAATTGTAAACAAAGTCGCCAAAGATTGAGAAAAGATGTACAGGTTCGTAAGTGCTTGTGTAACTGCTTTGTGAATCTGGCCCCTAAGGCGTGCCACTCTAGGTCAACTTGAACGATTTAGCCAATCAAAACCTAGTTTTACAAACGTATGATTACACGTAATTTGACTATTGGACACGTCCAATTCAAGACACCAAACGGTAGATGTTTCATTAATGAATATGAATGGCAATTGGCCTGATGCTGCCTGGCTAATCTTCGTGTGGCTTTCAGTTCTCAGGGATTAAGAAGCTTGTATCCGACAGTCTTATCGAGGTGTCCCTAGGCTCTGCTGCCCAATAACTGAGCGGTATACAACCCACAACAGTCTTATAACTCCTAGGTACACAATTACAGTTCGGTGATCAGGAGCATCAGGAAGCGTGTCCGGACCTGCCCGAGACACGACCCCAAACCAGTGGGGTTGTGAGTCAAGTACGCAGCCAACTTCGCTACGCGCTACAGTCCCGTCCTCCCTACAAAACAGAGGTTACCGCAATTCATCCCTTAACATATTCAGAGAAATGAATCGCGCTGATAAACAGTTGTGTGAGGTGTAAGCGCCGTTCATCTCCCGCTAAGTGATACCGGATACATTCATTACCTCGGCTTTATTGTCTCTACAACAAGGACGAAACGCCCGGGTTTTAAGGGCCATGAATGGCGCTCGTCGAGCAATACATATCGGAGAGGCAGGACGGAGGATACACGGGAGTAATGCATCAGTTTTCTTATCATATTGCAAGGTTTATGTGTCGCCTCGCATGACGGATCACGTCATAATTTCATCGTCTGCACCGGCCACAAACAATGGTATAAACAACCTCTCCCTTTCTCTACCTCTCCCTCTACCTCTCCGTCTCTCTCTCCCTTTCTCTCTCTCCCTCTCTCTCTCCCTCTCTCTCTCCCTCTCTCTCTCCCTCTCTCTCTCCCTCTACCTCTCCCTCTACCTCTCCCTCTACCTCTCCCTCTACCTCTCCCTCTACCTCTCCCTCTACCTCTCCCTCTACCTCTCCCTCTACCTCTCCCTCTACCTCTCCCTCTACCTCTCCCTCTCCCTCTCGCTCTACCTCTCCCTCTACCTCTCCCTCTCTCTCTCCTCTCTCTCTCCCTCTCTCTCTCCCTCTACCTCTCCCTCTACCTCTCCCTCTACCTCTCCCTCTACCTCTCCCTCTCCCTCTCCCTCTCCCTCTACCTCTCCCTCTACCTCTCCCTCTACCTCTCCCTCTACCTCTCCCTCTACCTCTCCCTCTACCTCTCCCTCTACCTCTCCCTCTACCTCTCCCTCTACCTCTCCCTCTCCCTCTCCCTCTCCCTCTACCTCTCCCTCTACCTCTCCCTCTACCTCTCCCTCTACCTCTCCCTCTACCTCTCCCTCTACCTCTACCTCTCCCTCTACCTCTCCCTCTACCTCTCCCTCTACCTCTCCCTCTACCTCTCCCTCTACCTCTCCCTCTACCTCTCCCTCTACCTCTCCCTCTACCTCTCCCTCTACCTCTCCCTCTACCTCTCCCTCTACCTCTCCCTCTACCTCTCCCTCTACCTCTCCCTCTACCTCTCCCTCTACCTCTCCCTCTACCTCTCCCTCTACCTCTCCCTCTACCTCTCCCTCTACCTCTCCCTCTCCCTCTCCCTCTCCCTAAATCATTTCGCTCACTACGCCACGACTACGCACCAGGAACTCACTGGAACCTTACTGTGGGTTATGGGTTAAGTATGTTAATTCCGCGTAGATTGCGTGTTGGGCAATGCTCAACAGATTTCTTCAAGAATCAGGAGAAAAGTTAATACCTATTCTTGGCACCTAGGGTCTCGCCAATTCCAATTAATTAATAACCCCGGCAACCTTAACTGGCTTGATTGCCATCCCAGGTAGTTACTTCGGCTAATGTTCATGATTCATGTTATTTTTTATATATACGTAAATACTTATATGGAGAATGTGTTCTCTCTATGCTAGACTATTTTACATATTTTATAATGAGATATTCATTATACTGTTTGGGAGAATGTTGCTGCGTGAGCTCGTCGCGGCTCTAATTATTTTTGGCTCGTGGTTTTCACATAATTATCTCGAAACATGAATCGTCAGTGAAGTTCACTGTGTTAAGACTCGTCTCATAGTGGCATATTTGTGTGTGGATCTGATATCCAGGTTGTGTGAGAGCAGCTTCACTCTGGCACAGGATCTTGTGTCGATTAGATCATTGTCAGGAGCCTTACATGTTGTGGGTGTCGTTCAGATCACCTGGGATTGAGAGGAGCCACACAGGGTGAGCTGTTGATCAGATCATATGGGACTAAGATTAGCGTCACTATGGCTAAGGATGAGATGTTGATTTGATTACTTGAGGGAGAGTGAAGAGTCCCATTACTGTAGAAAACAGTAGGATAGAAATAGACTCAGCTACTCTGTTGACCAGACCACACACTAGAAGTTGAAGGGACGACGACGTTTCGGTCCGTCCTGGACCATTCTCAAGTCGATTGTG